CATGGTCTGTACTTAACACAGCTCACAGATTGACCACTTTCCATGCATTTCTATTGCTGTCGCCCATTCTAGCCAGACCCAGATTCTCTCCCAATTACGGTCAGAGTACCGGGCAATCTCTCCTTGATGACACAGCCCACATGGGGTTCACTGCAGTCCAAGCCAGACTATTTTCTAAAATACCACTTTCACTTTGAAATTCTCACAGCCATCATGAGAAGACTCTAAGTAAAGATGTGGAAGGAAATCCTTGATATAATACTGCAAGAAAAACAGGCTAATTGTAGAATTAAACCCAGAACAATGGTAGACTTTGAATGAAATATCTGAGTGCCTACACACTTGCATACGGAGTGGCATGGGAAGGAATCGGTGTTGACAGAAGAGCACCGATACTTTCCTTTATAGAACTCTTCATCAGTTTACTTTCAGTAATAAGCATGTGTTATTTGGTTATTTAAAAACTTAAGCCTCAATCACATTCCCCTGAATGTTTATCTGAAGACCGTGACAGAAAGTGGAAGTCACAGGGAGAACCTTGAGGACAAGCGATGCTCTTTCTTTGCATTGCCGGCACTTTCTGCATAGTGGCGTACAGTGACTTTAAAAAAAGTGATCAAGAGAAGGAAGAAGGAGAGGAGAAAAGAATGGTTTGGGACGTGTGTGCTAGTGCGCGCATGTGACTTAGAGCTGGGAGGCCCCAAATGATTTGTTCATCATCCATCCCTCGTGGGGGACTCACTGTCCGTTCTAGGAGTTTACTGAGACTCACCGAGCACCAGGGACGTTGTCCATCCTAGAAAGAGGAATAAAGATTATAAAGTAGAACTCACCCTTAAGAAAAGGTAAAGAATACGCGTAACTGTGTTGGATTCAAAGTAAACAAAAGAGAAGGAAAGGAACAGAAATAAGAGAAAGAAGAGAAGCGGTGGAGGGTGCTTCGGAGGGATGCAGAGGCCCAGGCTGTGCTGGCGTGGCTGGAGACGTGGAGAACACACACAGTAGACACACAGGGGACCGTTTCTCTGAACAAGCGGAGACCACAATCAACTATGGGATGGTGGCGCTGACCAAGACAGTGCAGGGCCTTGGGAAGGAAGGGAGGGTTACCAGAGACATGCTCTTAAATGAGGTTAGTGGGGCTGAAGCCAGGTTATTTCAGGATAGGAGGAGAGCCCTGACGTGTTCCTATGGAGAGCCCACGAGGATGGAGAAGGAGCACAGTTCAAAGTTCACGGAGCTGAAGAAACAAGCAAAGACAGGTCGGAACAGAGGGAGGGGACAGAAAGAAGTGGCAATGACACAAAGATGTCCTGAGGGAGGGGAGAACAGCTGAGCAATCTCACAAAGGAGGGGGATCGCCTCGCAGGAAGTGCAGGTGCACAGACAGGGCAGACAGGTAGAAGAGGGCGGCCAGGGCATTCGGAGGGGAATTCCTACCAGGGTGACAAGGGATCGCAGCGCAGCCCTAGGAACTCGCGGAAGCCAGACAGCATGAATGATATTTCCTTCCCCTTCTGAGTTCATAAGGCCCTCCAAGCGTAAAATTGGGTAATTCCTACTCATGCATATGTATGAAAAGGCACTGTCAAAGAAAGGTTTTGAAGCCAGAGGAAATAAAAACATCAACTCTGGATGAAACATGACTCATGACTAGAGGGACATTCACATCTGCCAGATAGGGGAGCCTAGGGGTGACACGAGAAGTCAGGGAGAGAGCTGCAGGCTGGGCGGCCTCAGGATCGCTGCTTACCAGCGTTCCCAGTTTAGCAGAGGCCCCTCGAAACCCTCTCACAATGGGAGACTGAAGGAGAAGACTTTCATCCTTACAGAAACAGTATGGGAAGGTGCAGGTGTGGCACTTAGGAATCACACAGAGGGCACGTGAGACCTGTGTGTGGCTCTGGCTCCTGGTCTGCACCGTCTTCCAGACACATTGTTGCGAGCTCCTTCCAGAGTCTAACGGGAATGGAGAGTGCACACCAGAGTTGGAGCTGGGAGCTGGGCATGTGGAGGCTGGAGGAAAGGAAGGTACAGAGTCAAGTCTGTCTGGGAGATCTCTATCTGATTTTCGAGGGATAGCATGGGTTTTGGAGAGTTATTTTTAAGAGTCTTTAAACATTGAGAGTACTCTTTGGCTCCACAAAGCAAGAGTGACTAATCATTATAGCATCTACATTCTTTCATAACTGCATGACTCTACCTAAATATCCCAGGTCAGAATTGTGAATAAGTAACCTTTCAAACAAATAATGATGCTAAAAATTATATGTACTTTAAAAACTCTTGATCTTTATCCCTACAGGAATCTCTCCTCCTCAGTGGTAGCTTGGGGGGCATAGGAGTTAGGGGATGGAATGGGAAGGACGGGAGGGAGGGATGGGAGGGAAGAATTCTCAAAAGGCACAAGGAAACTGTCCAGGGTGACAGATGTGTTCAACATCTTGACTGACGTGATGGACTCACAAATGTGTACGTGTGTCAAAACTCACCAAATTATTCACTTTAAGAATGTAATTTTTGTATTCTAATTCTACTTCAATAAAGCTGTTAAAAAATAAAATCAGCATCTTGTTTGAGATATGTAATAACTTTGGAGGATGCCCTTTCTTTCGATCAGCAAAAGGGCAAGATTCAAACTTAGGACAGCATCCACAAAGAGGCCACATTTTTACAGATACCAAAAAATAGAAACATTTGAAGAAAGGAAAAACTGTATTGAAATTGTAATACTCAGGCCGAGAGCAGTGGCTCATCCCTATAATCCTAGCACTCTGGGAGGCCGAGGCAAGTGTACTGCCTGAGCTCAGGAGTTCAAGACCAGCCTGAGCAAGAGCGAGACCCCATTAAATGTATTTATGATCTATGTACAAATGACTTAATTAAAAAAAAAATACTCAGGTGTTGTGGTAGGCACCTGTAGTCCCAGCTACTCAGGAGGCTCAAGCAAGAGAATCACTTGAGCCCAAGAGTTTGAGGTTGCTGTGAGCTATGACACCATGGCACTCAACCCCAGGGCAACTGAGTGAGACTCTGTCTCAAAAAAAAAAAAAAATTGTAATTCAAGTCACATTTGACTTTTATAAGAGACAAGATACAATATACAAGATAACAAATGTTATCAGTATATATTGAGTATTACAATTTTTATACAGTTTTTTCCTTTCTTAAACTGTGTATACATTTTTCAGGCACCCTCTGTGTATGATATCAGCATTAAAAAAAGAAGAAGAAGAAAGGGAGAAAAGAAAAAAACCCAAGAAACTCTTCCTAACATGCAAATGACAGAGGTCTGACCATTTACCTTCTCCAAGCTAGGTTTTGCTGCAATCTGTTTCCTAAAGCATTTTCTCATACTCAAGTCAAAGGTAATTTATTATTCCCTCCTGTTGAAACACCATCACACTTATGTTAACTTAATGCATTTATCTACCTACCCGTTGCATGTGTATTAAGTGCCTCATATGGGCCAGACACAGATTTGGTGCTAGATACACACAGAAGTGAGGAGGGCATGGGTTTTTCCCTCAAGAGCCTCACAGTTTGGGGGCAAAAGACTGACATAGTAACACATATTACAAAAAGTAACAGTAGCACTAGAGCAACTATTTCAAGAAACATTAAAAGGAACCACAGGAACACAGAGGAAGAAATGTATTTTGTCAGACACATGTGTTCTATCTGTTCTATCCTCTATTTCCCTGCTAGACTGTGATTCACCCACTTCACCTATCTACTTAATTACCTGGCATGAGTATTTCACATCTGTGTATTTGTTTGAATGAATGGAGATTCCATTTCATGGGCATCTGCTCTTTGACTAGCAGGCAGGGCTACCACGCTGCCAACTGCACAGCTGAGTTCCAACCCTTATCCACTCCATCAACAAAAATATGGAAACAAAATCAAAACCTAAGTCCCTGAATTCCTAAAGGACTCTAAGTCTCCTAGTGAAGAAAAACATGAAACAAGAAGGGCTGCGGTGGGGACTTAGTCTGCAGAGACACAGGACACAAGAATGGCTGCCATGATTCAGGTCCTGCCATGGTTCCCGGGACAGCCCTGGCTTTCTACAACTTATTGCTATTGGTATTCTTCTTGCCAGGGGAATACATAGGGATGGCAGCCATATACTCTTTAGGGGAAGCATAAACAAAGCAATTTCTGGGTGCATGTCGGTTCAACCTGCACAAACTGGGTGGCTTATAAACAACAGAAATTCATTTCTCTCAGTTCTGGAGGCTGGAAAGTCTAAGATTAAGGGACCAGCAGATTTAGTGCCTGGTGAGGGCCCACTTTCTGGTTCATAGATGGCACCTTCTAGTTGTGTCTTTACACAGTGGAAAGATATCACCATGAGACTAGCTCTCTCTTTATAAGGACACTAATCCCATCCATGAGGGCTCCACCCTCATGACCTAATCACCTGCAAAAGCCCCAACTCATAATACCATCCATCACCTGAGGGTTAGGATTTCAACATATGAATTTGGGATGAAAATAAAAACATTCAGATCGTAGCACCGGAGATGACATTTATGAGTTTCTGCTCTTTCTTATGTTGTCACCAAGCCTTCATCTATGCTTAATTTCTGAAGAGGCAGAGAGGTGGTAGAGAGAATTATGGGAAACTGTGAGCAGAGGGTGATGGAAAAATCCATTTCGATCAACACATATGCAATTATGGAATTTTAGTTAGGACAAAGCTAGCACAAATTGAAAAGGTCTCCAATTACAATTCATGAGATTTGAATTAAGCACAAGCAGAAATATTCCATCACTGGTTAGTGCAACCAGCATGACCAGAATAATTTCCTTCTCTGTCTTAAAGATAAGGCAGGGTTGCTTATCTTACTTACATCTAGCAGAAACATGTCTTAGAAAGGAACACAGTAGAAGTTTATGTAAACGCATCTGGACCCACCAGTGGACAGATGGCTCCAGGAGAGGGCAGAGGTCCTGAGGCTCGGCAGTACCCCAGGACTGGGCCAGACTCTTACCTGTAGATGGGGTCCTGCATCACCAGCATCTTGCTTTCATCCCACGTCCACTCCTTTTTCTGCAATAAAAGAAGCTGTAAATGAATAAGTTAGGCTTGTCTTCAGCTACAGAACCAGGGCACACACTGAGCTATTAACACTTAAGCAAACACATGCGTTCTGCTCCCAGCCTGCCTTTTCCCTCTAAGAAGCCTGGAATTGACCTCTCCACAAGGACAAGTGGAAAATGTCAAGTGTCTGGCCCGATCAGTTCCTTCAGGCACTTCAGGAAAGCATATTTACAGGACTCAGAGTTCAGGCAGGAGCCAAGGAGACGCCAGCCAGACTCCAGATAAAAATTTATCGGAGAAATTGTAAGAAAAAATAAAGGCATCAAACCAGAGGAGTGGAAGAGGCAGAAGGAACAAAAGGGATGGGGGCAAAGAGAAGCCTTCGGGAGGTGTGAAGGATGCTACCAAAGGCAACGAAATGTAGGTCCCAGTCCCTCTCCATAAAGGGGGAGAAAAGCTCCAGACAAGCCAGCTAAGTTAACTAGAACATTTCCAGAGTTACCCATACAGAGGAGGCTTTCATTCCAGCTGTACTCTAACTTCCTGTGAACCCAAAGGAGCCCCTCTAAACTGGGGGTGAGAATGAAAATGGGGAAGAGGGGTGGAAGAAGAGTGGATTCCAGCACAGTGCTGGGTCAGAGGAGTGGCACCCCAGTGTAGAGGGGAGGCCCAGGGTCAGCAGCCAACCACGCCCTTCGGGTCTGACCCCAGGTGCAGGGAATCCTGTTTCACCTCCACTGCCCTTTGTCACAGAGACGGTGCTGTCCAGGGAAACGGGGGAAGAAGAGAGACTCGGGCAGGGGCAAGGCAGGGGAGCAGGGAAGCATAAAGTGGATTCACTGAGTGCTTTCAGCAAGTGGATTCCTCAGAGATAACACACAACTCTCATATCAGGGTTTGAGATTGTTAGGCCTCCCCTGGGGAATTGGGGCAAGGTCCAGGCCCTGGCAGTGTCATTAGGAAGAAGCATTTTGTCAGTAGCTTCCCAGCACCACACCAGACACACCCCGTGCGCATGGACACACACAGACACACACACCCCTCATTTAATCCCCGAATTGTTCTTCAACACCAATCCCGCCCCTAGAGGGGGATTTTAGACTGGCTTACAAGCACTCAATATCTGACAACAAAATAAATTAATTTAAAATTTAAAAGATGTCCTCCCAAAATTTCTAGTGGCTACTCTATAAAATTCAGAACAACACAGAACAAGGAAACTCATCCCTTCTCTAAATAAGAACCCCTTCAAATACAGAAATACATCAAGTCTAGAATTCCTTCTTTATATAAATAATCCCACATTTTGCAAACATTCCTCACTTGACACATTTTCCAGACTTCTGACCACAACTGTCTTTCTTTGTACTACTCTGCTCACTGTGTCCCCCCCAACACCTGGTATTTGAACTGGCTCCCTGATCAGCACTGTGCCGAGACACAGTCCTCCCGACGTTCCCGCCACGGCACTACTCCTAACCCAGCCAAGACAGGGTAGCATTTCTTAGCTGGCACACATCTGGTCAGTTTCCAACATACAACGTGGAATTTTTCAGTGTTAAAGTCCAAATACGTGGGGGCCTATACTTTAAACACATAATATTATTGCTCACGGTAGGAATTCTTCAAATAGCAAAATAATGTGCTTAAAATATGGTTTGCTGTCAGAGCAAATTTTTCATAACATCAATACTAAATTAAGCCACATCTATGTCATGACCACATAGTCTGTCTGCACTCTCCACTCAATGCCATGAGCAACATTCACGAGGGACCTGCTCTCCGCCGCTGCGTCCATCTACCATGTTTATTTCATCTACTATGTCTTTCAGTTGTAATTTTCCATCTGGTTCTTCTTCATTTCTTCACTGAGACCTTCTACTTTTTCATTTGTTTTAGGAGGGTTTGCAGTGGCTCATGATGCGGCTTGTGACAGCTGCCTTGAAGTCTTACTCAGTTAACTCTAACATCTCTGCTATCTCGCTCTTGACACTGATTAGCTGTCTTGTTTTCAGGAGAGGTGAGATTTCCTCCATTCCTGGTATAGTGAGTGATTTTCCATCAAAACCTGGATGTTCTGAGTATTATAAGTCCCTAGATGTTATTTATTTTTTATTTTGTTTTTGAAAGTCTATTGCCCCAGGGTAGAGTCACATGGCATCATAGCTCACAGCAACTTCAGACTCTTGGGCTCCAATGATCCTCTTGCCTCTGCCTTCAGAGTAGCTGGGACTACAGGCATCTGCTAAATCACTGGGCTCATTTTTTACTTTTTAGTAGAGATGGGGTCTTACTCTTGCTCGGGCTGGTCTCAAACTCCTGAGCTCAAGTGATCCACCTGCCTTGGCCTCAGCTTCCCTGCAATCTGCTAGGATTATGGACATGAGCCACTGTGCCCGGCCCCTAGGTGTCATGTGAAA